TTTTTATGTTTATCATTTGCCATTTTAGGGGGGGTGCGGCGTATAAACTAAAGATTGACATAAATAATTTACAAAAAAGGAAGGATGCTTTGTAACGCAGGGTGCGGTAAATAAATTCACTCTTTTCATAATATCAAAGTTTTTTCGAAAATACTTCTAAAAAAAATTAATCAATTTTTATTGATAATTATTTTTTCACAATTCCATAATTAATCCGAATTTCATTCTACACTCAAACGTCAAATCATTAATATAAATCTCTACATTATTGTAAATATAATTTATATCATTCTAATTTATAATTTAATACATATTATTTTATTTATTTTTTGTTAACTAATTATTACCATATTAGTATTATCTAATATTAATTTTAAAAAACTAAATTCCTAATTATAAACAAAAAACTATCTTTAATTTACTTAGTATTACATTATAGTACTAAATTTTTCTATTCAAACAAACTCATTGGTCCCGGTGCGAAGCAACGGGTAACTGCTAGTATAAAATTAAATTTTTTGTTTTATATTGGCTACAGTATCAGAGTCATGTGTATGTAAAATTGTTAATGGATACTTTTTTTCGCCAATAGATAAAAAAAGTTTAATTAGTAGCCTTTTTTAATCATATTTAACTATTGTTTATTTTAAATAAATTTTTTAAAATTATTTTTTTTTTATTTTTTTCGGTTCAAACCATAAAATAAAAGAATTTTAAAAAGCCTAAAAAAGGGAAATAAAAAAAATTTTTTTTTAAAAAAGAGGGTAACAAAGTTAGGAAAAGGACGATGAGTAAAAAATAAATTTTTTTAATGAAGTTTTTTATTTCTTAGTTCAAATCGAAAAAAAAATCTCTTAAATTTTTTTTATTTTTGGTTATTTTTTTTATAAGTTATTAATAATTAACGCCAACTGAATAAAAAAGACTTTTTTTCATTTTTTATTGTAATTTTTTTTGGTTGTCTATCTCCAACGGTCCAACCTTTAAGTTGTAGTAAATTTTTAATTATATAAATAAAATATTTAATTATATTCCATGATACTAATGCGACAGCCATACTTCTTTCATAAATATAATGTGAAGTATTATTAATGCTGTAACCCAAATGGCTTCTTTTCAGAAGTTAAAATGCTTGAACAATGTAAAAATGATTATATAAAGAAGACAAGCCAAAAAGGAAAAAACCATTGGTATATATTTTATATAAATTGACCCTTTCAACGCAACAGGCTACAGCTAGTATATCATATAGTATGAATAAATAAACAACATTTAAAATCTAGTATTCTATGAACTAAATAGAATAGGATATTAAGGAAAAAAAATGATCAAATTTCATTAACTGAAACCGGGGAACTTACGCACGACCCCAATAGTATATCACACGTTTCAATTCAGATGGTTGATATTTATTATTAATTTATATTAATTTGTATTTAATAATATAAATATTGAAATATTTTATTTAATAAATACTTTTTTAGGGAAGAAAAAGAAGTGCGGTTAACGAATTAATAACGATGATAATGATGATAATCAAACATCAAATTGATTGTTTTATAAATCTCAATGGAGGTGATATTAAACAACTTGAAATTAAAGAAGGTATTTAAAATATTTGCATTATTTATTTTTTTCTTCATAATAAATAAATATAAATCTATTTTTTATTAGATGAAGAAGTTTGATTTTTATCAATGGAATTCATTTAACAAATACCATTTTACAAAATCAATGGATAATTCATCAACAATTACAGGCATTATTGGAAAAATTGAATGATATAAGGTAAGTAACAATATATTTTAAGCATAATTTATTAAAATTATCATCTTTTTTTTATATTATAAATCTATATTACAGAATTTATGCTTAATATTTGCACTAAAACAAGTATCCAAATTTAAAAGAACTTAAAGAAGATATTTTAAAGGGATTTCATAATGAATCAAGTAGATAGATATACTGTATGTTTATAAATTTTTATTTATTATTGCATAATATACTAATTATTAATTTATAATTTATTCGTTAAAACAATTAGAGATCGATGAGGCTATATAACACAAAATAGTTTATTGGCTATCTTGATTTACCATGTGTTTAGAGTAAGATAAAGAAGTGTTTGTTACAAAAAGACTTTATGAAAAGAAAATGTAGAAATGTAGAAAATTTATTATAATTCTTGAAGTTTTCAAAAGTAAGGATTATACGCCTATTAAATCTGATAAACTATTTGTAGCAAGTGTAATTAAATTAGTAATGGAAGGTAAAATTGTTTCATAAGAAAATATTCAACAAAAAGAAAGGTTTAATCAATTATTGAATATTCATTGAGTTTTTAACGATATTTATTAAATTACTGAATGAAAAATTTAATAATTGCCTAATCATAACTTAGTAGTACTGAGGAGGAGATTATTTTACTTTCGAATTAAGAATGTAATATTTATAATAAATTTTCTTATAAATCAGAATTATAAATTATTACAAATTAATATTTAAATTAATGCTTATTAATCATTAGATTTAATATTTGCAAATTAATGTGAATTTTATATTTTTTTCATTTGTAATTGCTAAAAAATTAATTAGATTATATTATAGAATCATAAAACGTGAAATTGAATATTTAACTAGAATTTAAGATTTGGATATCATATTAAATAAATAGCAAGGACTCAATTAATATTGAATAAAAAATTTTTTATCATGGAAATTATTTAAATTAACAATGTGATAATTTAACGTAGATTAGTATAAGAATTTTTAATATTAATTTCACATTTTTTATACATTAACAAACAGTTAAATATTTATTGAATTTCCTTAAGAAATTTTTGAGATGAAATTTGCCTAATAATTATATTTCGCTTGTTTAATTACCTAAAAATTTGTTTCTTACCATATTATATCCGCCGATCTGCAGAATGCATGTGATAGTTTTGGCGCTGCTAGATGGGTTTTTTATATTCCGGATATATTATGATTTATTTAAATAAACATAATATCCAATGATTACTAGAGAATAAAATCACGCTGATAAGCATTCAGAATTTACATAAACTACAAACTTTTACGAATATTTGCGACACGTTACATTAAATAAGTAGTACACTCTTTTGAATGGAACGTTGGAAGTACAAATGCACGCTATTGTGTTACACACATTCCGATTATTTTTTTACTTAAATTCCGTCGTCATAAAATTAATATTTTCTTACTTCTTTTTGTAATAGAAAATATGGAAGGAAGTTCAAGTCAGGTAAATTATTATTTTAAGCAATATTAAAAAATTTAATCAATTACAAATCATTAAAACTAATTTTATATAATAATTATAGAGTGGAGGTACTTCTACCAATACTGCTCCTGGTAACTCAGAAAATAATAACTCTCTTTCGTATAAAACGATTTTGTATGAAAATATGTACAACAATCGTATCCTTCTTAAATTAGAAGAAGATGGATTCATCACGCCTGATGAAAAGTCAAAAGAACTTATTAAGGAACTATCAGAAATAAAGTATTTATATGCTTTGAAGGTGCTTTTTGAAAACTTACAAAATGAGTTTTCATCTCAAGTTTTAGCAAATTTATTAGAAGCTTTAGTTGATACTCCTTTTAATCATTATTCAAAAGAAAGTGTAGCTAGATTAGAATTACATTTAAGAACTTTGGTTACCGTCTTAGAACGGATATGTTTTTCACCAATAGTACTTAGTAAAGAACTTCGAGATAAAGTTTATAATTCTTTAGCAAAATTTGCAGAAATTCATCGTAAAACAACTCAAGTTATCGAAATAGGACTTGATAATAATTTTAGACGAAATTTCAATCAATTCAATCAACAAAGTAATAATCAAGACGAACAAATTATTAAAAAGCGTAATTATAATATTGATTTTTTATTAATCCATTTGCGAGATACTCTTCATAGTTTACGTGATGATGAAGCTAGGTTTCAGGAAATTATACGAAGAATTAGAGACTTACTTAAGACTGCATTGAATATTACACCAGGAATTCTAACAATAGCAGGAATAAATCTTCCAAATGATTGTTCAATCTTATCAATGCTTACTCAAATACGCCAAAGTTTAAGTTTTAAATATCCAGTAGCATCTTATTATGTAGATTGGAGAATTATGTTAATAATTCAAAATAATCTTTTCATTTGGTCTGAAAGTTCTGAAAAGATTATTAGTAAAAAATTTAGTGAATTGGTACTTATGGAATATATCTGGAGCTTTTTGGAAGGAGAATGGGTTAATGCTGCAGACAAATCTATTTTAGATTCTCAAACAAAATTTGATGAAGTATCAAATAAAGTCGTTAAATCTTTGAAAAATGCTGGAGGCTTTTTAAATGAACTTGCCGGAAATGAACCTATTGCATTACCACATACTTTATGGTTTGGAATATTAGATCTTGCACAAAATCTTATCCAAAGATCATCCCGAATAGCAACATATGGTCTTTGTTATTATTTAGCAATTGAATCACTTAATAAAGCACCAAGTAATTTTATTCAGTTTAAATCTATTGAACTATTATTACATTTATATAATGTTGATAATAAAATGTTTTCAATGATTGAAATTGATTTTGATCAATACACACAAAAATTAAGTGAAAATAATTTGGAAGATTCTTTAGAAAATTTTCGAAATTTATTAACTTTTGTCAAAGAGAAATATCATGAAGATTTAAAAATTTTAAGTAATAATACTGGAAAAGGAAAAGAGGGAAAAGGAAAAAGTTTAAATCAAAATTCTTATTTAAAGAAAAAACAAACATCAAATTCTAATATTTTAGATGTTATAGCAGATGAAATTACTTGTCCAATTAATAGTGAACCAACTGATCAATTATGTATTTTAAAATGCCAACATATATTAGCAATAAGCAATTTAAAAAAATTAAAACAAAAAATATGTCCTAATTGTCGGGAAAAAATTGAAGATAATGATATTAGATATTTACCACAAAATTCAATTTATAAAAATTTATATACAAAATTTTTTGAATCTGGACATATTTTACCTTCAATTGAATTAGAAAATTCTGATCAACTATATGACAGCGATGATTCAGATAATTCAGAATTTGATTTTATATTGATTAAAAATTCAAATATATCATCATCATTACTTTCAAGAATTACAAAAAAACAACATCCAACATATCAAAATATTATAAAAGAAATAAATGAAAAACATTATGAAAAAGCTGAATCATTATGTAAGGAATTTTTAAATTTTTTTCCTAAAAGTTATTCTTTAAGATGTATTTTAGCTTATATTTATAGATGTCTTAACAATTATGAACAAGCTCACTTATACTTAGAAGAAGCTATTTATTTAAATCTCTAAATACCAGTTGCTTATTTTATTTTTGGAGAAATATATTTTAGACAAAATATATATTATGAAGCTATAGATAATTTAAAAAAATCTTTAGAATATAAAGCAAAATTAACTAATTTATATACAATACTTGGAAATAGTTACCTATTTCGTATTTTTTTTGTCAATGATTACACATTAGCTGTAGAAAATTATAATATTTCATTAAAAAATGATTCAATTAATTATTTTTGCCTTAAAAATTGTGCATACAGTTATGAAAAATAAGGATTTTATTTATATTCTTTATTGTTATTAGATATATTGTTAAATATTAACTAGAAGGATTCTTTGATTTTATGTTATTATGGAGAAATTTTATTTAATATGAAACAATATAGTAAAGCTATACTATACTTTACAAAAGCAAATATTATAGATCCAGAAAATATTCATAATTTGAATAAGAGAGCTATTGCATACTATATTATTCAGGAATATGATAAAGTTTTATTAGATCTTGATAAAATTATACAATTAGATCCATTAAATAGTTCAGCATATTATTTGAAAAGTCTAACATATTATACAAAGAATGATATTAATAATGCTAAAATATCATTTAAAAAGTATGCAGCATTATTGAATTCTGATAATTTCTTAGCAAAGATTCAGTTATATTACCTAGGATACTTATTAAATGAAAATATTTCTAAAGATTTAAGCAATGTATTAACAAACATCAATCAAATCCTTAATATTGATAGCAATAATGAATTGTTACTTTTAATTAGATGTAAAATACATATTGAATTAAACAAGTATTATGAAGCTATTGTAGATTTGGATATGTTATTTGAAGGTGAATACAAAAAATATTACTATAAAGCTTTTTCATATATTCATTTATTACGAAAGCATTCGGATTTTTGGTCATATTTATGTAAAGTTCGTGAAATTGACAAATGTGATTTTACCAAACTTGGAATTATTAACGAATTCAGTAAATACATGTATAAAGGTAAGAAAATATTTAATTAATTTATTATCTTCTATTTAAGTTATAATAATTTAATACATTTAACACATTAGAAAAAGAAGTATATTTTATTTCAAATCTTACAAATTTAGATAGTAAACTTTGTCAATTCCAAGAAAGTGATATAAGCAGGTAAAGTTTATTCATAATAGTACTTTTAAGTCAAGTTGTCATATACCAATTAACCAAATTAACCATAATTTTTTAAAATCAAAGTTTATCAGGGCTGGTATTGTGTTCTAAAAATGAAAAACTTTGTTTAGATTTGCCTACACTATGTAATGATCCTGCTCATTTTTTTATTTATAAAATAAATGTTAAAAAAATATTATCTAAAGATTGCTTTATAAAATTTATATATTATTTTGTAAGTTAATTATTTAAAATCTCTATCACTATATTTAATTTTAAATTAATATTAACTCAATTATAGAGATATGATAATCAAAGTGAGCATATATTAAAACATGAAGATGTATCAAAACTTGAGGGATTAGGTTGGATAGAATATCAGAGTTTAACATATAAATTAAATGGAGTTCAAATTTCAATCGAAATAAATTCAATTGAAATGGTATGTTTCTATTTACTTATTCATATTAATTTCCTCTCAGAACAAAATATAATATTATTCTTTAATATACATAGCAAATAGATTATGTTCGATATGGAGGTAGTTCTACTAGAAAAATAACTCCCATGGGTTATTTGTTACCAAATTATCACCAATTTTTATCAAATGTTCCAGAAACTTTCAAAGACAAGTATTTTTCAAGAAAAGAAATGGAAAATTTACTTGATTTAAATGATATCCTTAGCAAATTATAATTATTTACTTTTCTTATTATTCATTTTGTTTTATTCAACATACTAAAATTTTTTAAAAGTTGATCGATCCATTTTATCTATAAAAGAAAATCTTTCGTTTCAGGAATTTTTTATTGAAAGATAACCGTTGGAAATTTATTATCTACACCCGGGAAAATACACTAAGAAATTTATTTGTATGGTGTAGGATATTTCATAAAATATTAGTAATTCAACTTTATAGCAAGAGATAAAATATTACGTAAAACATTTATTCATATTTTTTAACTGGATATAACAAATTTTATTTGTTAAATCTAACCAACGATATTTTATTTTTAACAACAAACATTACCTAAACAAAATGTATATTGTATAATTATTTTATTTGATACAATAAATTATATTTAACAAATTATAAAATATATATTACCGTATTATCTTTACTATAAATAAATTTTTAGAAATTTAAATCTCTACTAAAATAAAAAGCTTCAGGATTTTTATAATTATTAAAAAGAATCCAATCATTACTTTTAACCAATTCTTTTCTTTCAATTTCAGCTACTTCAATTATTTCAGGATTTAAATTCCATTGAATTTTCCAATTTTCAATAATTTCAATAATTTCATTAATATTTGGTCTATTTAAAGGTGAATTATCCCAACATTTTATCATTAAATCTAAATAAGATTTTGGAGTTCCTTTAATAATTTCAGGACGTAAACCATTAATAATTTCTTTTATTAAATTTTCATCATGAGAAAAATGAACAAAAGATTGTTGACCTGAAGTTAATTCCCACATTATCATCGCGAAAGAATAAACGTCTGAAGCTTTAGTATATATTTCTTCTTTTTCATCATCGTTACCAATATTTGATAATATTTCTGGTGCTATGTAAGGTATTATACCATAAAATTTTTTACTATATGATAAGGAATCAGAAAATACATTACATAATCCAAGATCTGAAATTAATATATCATATTTTTGTGTAACATTATATTTTGAGTCTTCATTTTCTTCACCTTCAAAAGATTCTGAAAGTTCTAATAAAACGTTTCCACTATGAAAATCATGATGTACGTATCCATGATCATGTATAGCTTTCAATCCTTTCGCTATTTCTAATAATATGGAAATTTTCTGATACCAATCAATTTCAACAAAATTATCTTGAAGATATTGACGTAAATCTCCTCCGCTTGCATATTGCATAACCAAAATGTAATCGTTGGTTTCTGGGTCCCGAGAAATTCCGTATAATTTTGGACTTTTTTCCGAACTCATTACAGTGTAATATGAATCAAGCTATATTAGAAGGGGGGCGAGGAAGGAAAAAAAAAAAGAAAAAATTATTATAAAATTTATCTAATTTTTATGATAAAATCGTCTCATACCTGACGTATAAAATCAGCTCCATTGATATTCTTTGAATTTTTTAATTGTTTAAGTACTACATATTGAGATCCTGTTGTACTTTTATCGCTAAACGAAAATGAAATATTCCTTTCCGTGATCTATCCAAAGATTAAATAGATTAATATTTATTATAGAAACATGTAGAGAATTAAAATAACAAAAAAAATCAATCACCTCATATTCAAGTCTAGCGACAACGCGATCACTCCATAATTTTAATTCTTCAGTTTTAGAAGAAAGAGATTTTCTCTTATTTTTTAATTTATTAACAATTTTAAAAAAACCTTCAGATTTTTTTTTATTATCAGGTAAGGATAAAGATTGTAAACCAAATTCTCTAACATTATTAGGGGCTTCATCATAAATTAATTTCCAAATAAAATCATCATTATGTTTTTCTACTTCATTTATCCAACCTTTCATCGTACCAAAATAAAGTCCATTATTCCAAGAAGCGAGATAAACTTTACTATAACCACCTTCTTCTAATAATATTATATTTTCAAATTCATCAAAAGGAATTAATTTTAAATAATTTTCTTTAACAGAATTTGTTAATTGGGTTTTTTTAATAAATTCATCTAATAAATCTATTTCACTTGTCCAATAACTAAAATTTTCTTTAAATAATTTTGTTTCACATTCGTTACACCATAATATTGAATTTTTTTTATAAGTTGTTTTACATCTAAAACAATATTCTGATGGTGATAAAAGTGATGATGATGATGAAATTGGTTCATTTGGTAATATTTTTAGATAATTATAAACTCTATTAAAATATGTTTCTGCATAATCTTTTGATGCTTGTTTACTTTCTAAATACGGTTGTCGCTTTTCTGATTGCATCTCTAAAAATAAATAAAAATAAATAAAAAAATAAAAAGAATATTAATGAATTTTAAAAAATTATTAAAATAGCGCTTTAAATAACAATATGATAACTTACCTTGATTTTTTATACCCATTACTTTTTTTACAAAAAAATAAAAATATAAATATATACAGTATATATATATATAATTTTACGAAAAAAAAAGAAAATAAATTCTTACGAAAAAAAGAAAATTCGAATTTGAGAATAAAAAGAAAATTCAATTTAAGAATAATAAAAAAGAAAAAAAAATTCAAATTTGATAATAAAAAGAAAATTCAAATTTGAGAATAAAAAAAATTTAAATTTAAATTTAAAATAATTTCTAAAAAAAAATCCACTATATTTAATTTGTATATAATAAATACTTAAAAAATTATTTGTTTATCATACTAATGAATGAATAAACAATGATCATCAACCGAAAATCAAAAATCCTATTGTTAATCTTGTAAAAAAAAAGTTGAAACAAAAAAAACAAAAAATTAAAAAAAAAAAAAGAAAGAAAAGAAATCCTTAAACGAAAAACAAAGGGCCTATTTTAAAAGAAAAAAAATATTTTTTATTTGTTTTTATTTTTTTTAATTACAATGCATATAATATACTTCCCGATAATTCCGACACAAAAATATTTTTATTTTGTACATCCTATTATTGTACAAGAATAATTGTATTAATTATATTGTTCATGTGATAATTTTTCTGTGCAGGCGTGCAGCAAGCTTTTTTAACTTAATCGCGTCGAAACTCGGAAATATATTATAAAACAGAGCAGATTAAAAATATCACGTATCATAACATATGCTCACGTATCATATGCAATTTTGAAACTTTTATAGTAAGTGCATTAAATTTGTGTACTAAGTATCGCGATAAGCTAAAAAAAATGACATTCACGATTCTATGAAATAAAGATTCATAACCCACAGTTTAAATATGCATTAACTCAATACACAAAATAGAAGCATGACGCATCGGATTTATAATAAATTCAAACTCAATGTTCTATTTTTAATTATCTTTATAACTAATGATTAATTCAGAATTAATGTATGTACGTTAAGTAATAAGCTTAACTATTTAATAAATTAAATTAATTATTAAATTAAAGTATATTTAATGTGGCACAGTACAAGTATTAAAACGAATAATAAGAAAACACGATCTAATACCGACTGGCATCTCAATACGAGAGTCTATACTTATCGTTTCACCAGTGAGATAAAGATTCGACTAAAATAACAGGTTGATGTACTGAAACTTTTCTAATCGATCTTATGTAACTTTATATTTTAGGTTAAAATTAAAATAATTTATCATCCAATATTCCTAATTTAAATATGATCGTCATAAAAAATTTTTTTTTACGCCAATGCATTGTTCTTAAATCAAATATAAATATCTTATGAATGTTCAGATAATTTTATTGATTTTATAATTATTATGTTATCTTTCTTTATATATAACTGATAATATAAAAATAAATATACATTATACAATACATAAAAAATTTACGAGAAAATAAATATATTGTTTTATCTATATCTTCTAAGCTCATCTTCTAAGCTAATACTTAATCTCATTTCAGCCGCTGATGAAACCAGTTCATCAAAAAGATAGGATAATAAAATTTTTCTGCCTTTAAGTTCTTCATTATTCATTGGAATTTTACATCTCTTAACAATTGAAAGCCTATTTAACCATCTTTGTAATGCTTCTAAACTATTTGCTGTAGATGAATGAATTGGTATGGCTTTCTTATGTGATGTAATAGCTTTACCATAACTATTACGCGCCCATCCATGCCAGAATGCACATACTAATCCAATTATGCATCCAACTACCGTCTGTAAAAGTAAAAATATATTTATTTATTTATTTATTTAACAAAATAATTAAAAAGAACATGATGATAATAACAATAATAATATTTAATAATATTTTACCGTTATGGGACCAAATGGAACATTTTCTGTTTGTCGATAATAATGATATATTGATGGTAACGCGATAGCTATAAGACTTAATGGAATAGAAAAATATATAAATTAGCTGTGATATATTGATGTCCCCTAATAGTTTAATACACTGGTAAAATACTTACACTGATAAAATATAAGAAAAATTGGCCATGCTTTTGCGTTTTTTCCATTTTTCTATATCCTCTTGTAAGTTTATATATGCTGTTTCTACACTACGATCAATCTCACGGACAATCATTGTAAGTTCTTGGAGACGATCTATTAAAAATATTTTATTAGTTAATTAAAAAGTAACTTTCCTTAAAAAAAAAAAAATTATTTTAAAAATTTACCTTCAAATCTGTCAAATCCAATATCGATTAAAGCTTTTTCTAAATCTGTAAGACTTTCAATATATTTGACTTTCATGTATTTTATTGAACCAGCAAATAATGGACATACTCCAGGTGAATGAAAATCTTCGTATATTTCGTTCAAATGAACCAAATCACGTATTAAATTTAATATTCGTACCGATAATAAGAAATATGAATCATATATAAGCTGTAAAGTAATAAAAATTTCGATTAAATTTTTAAATTAATTGAATTTTTTGATCAAAGAATTAATACATACTTTATCAAACTTTTTTTCGACTTTACGATCATGAATTAAAGAGTTAAGAACTTCAATAAATAATTTTCCCATATCTTCATCAAATATATAACGAGCACGGGTTAACACTACAGTCATAAACATTCCATTAATGCTTCGATCAATACTTATAATTGGACCAGGAAATAATTTTTCGAAAGCTCCTGATTCAAAATCATCTAATAAATCATCTATAACTACATCTAATATTGCTGGATCAATAGGATCACTTAACGCTCTCAGTTTTGTATAATGTCTTGCTTCAGATTTAAAAAATAAATTTTCATTTGACATATTTGATGAACGTAAAATACATTCATAACTTGTGCTATCTAATGGTATCCAATCTGCAAAACCATTTAAAGTTAATGAAGCTATTGAAGCAGAAGTTCGAAGTCCTTCTACAACAACAGAGTGTGGTTTATTACTAAACTTGATTTTAATCTATTCATAAATAAAAATTAATAAATATTAAAAATATGATGATAAAATAAAGAAATATAAATTATTATTACCTTTAACATATCAGAATTATTTATTTCAATAGAGGAACCAGTCCTTAATTCTATCCTATTATCCAAACATCTTGAATAACTCCTTTCAAATTCATTTAAGAAAGACACAGAACCCACTGGACCTACAACTTGTGTAATTGCTTCAATAATATCATGTTTCGTACCCTACGGGAATAAGCGGATAATGTTAGAAAAAATTAAGAAATAATAAACTTCCCGAATATAAACCGGTTTCCACCTTTTCTGCACTTCCTGCACACCCGCCACCAAATTTTCAACTTTTTACCTTGAAATTATATATTTGAAATAAAGCGTAGTCTGTGTCAAAATGAAATTTAGTAGCGATATCCTCTTCAACAAAATGAAATCTACCGTTGTAATAAATTATAGGTTTTATAGAACAATGATTATTATATGCTATATTGGTAGCCATTATAAATATTTATTTCGTTTAAACAATTCAAGGAATTTTCGGAAGAGAGAAATCGGCCTAGATATGAAGGTTAACGAGGCACTGTGCACGGCGGAATCACATAACCTTAATCCTATTAAGGGAATTGAACGCCAATACCAGCCCCAATCATTAACAAAGTACCGGAATGTAAGGTATTAAGTAAGATTATCAAAAATGACTGGAAAATAATTAAAAAAATAGGTTATGGTTCATTTTTTTTATAAATATATATAACATGGGATCCAAAAAAAACCTTGGCTTATACTAAATCTGGATATTAATTATTTTTAATTATAACTTCTAAAATCTTATTGGGAAAAGATTTTCGTTGTTATACGACCATCTTTGGTAATCTTCAGCCAATTGATAAAAAATGTATAGAAACTTCCCCTTTTGAAGAAGAATATTATTTTACGGTTTTTCACATTTTCATACAGAAGGTCATATGAAGTTATTTTACATAACTCCGAAATTTACTAAAAAGCATAATTAAAACATTTAAAATTAAACCCATTTGTATTGCGTTACCAATAAGAAGAAAATCAGAATCAATTTAAGCGACTTTATTATGCAAATCAAAATATTTATATTTAGAATCAAATAAATATATTATAACAATTATTTTCATTTTTTTTCTGTTTAGTTTTTTAATTTTAATTTTTCTTTCTTTCTTTTTTTTTTTAAAAAAAAAAAAAAATTGAAATTGAAATTTTCGCATGCAAGCGGGCGTTAAGTATCAAGTGTCAGACTGTCAGTTATCAGGTATCACACGAACTAAAAAATGCAAATTACATTTTATTAAAATTCAAATCCGATAACAGTGTATCACGAATTCTCTTTGTTATTGCCAAAAAAAAAAATGATTTTTTTTTAAATGAATATTTTAGATGGGCGTCCAGATCTTCGATGGACTTGTCCGCAGTGTGTGTTTACTGTAGTAACGTGACATTTTTAATTACTTAAATACTAAAAATAATAGGCGCTTAAAAATCGGCATAAACGTTAATCATTGATCCATCATTCACAACATTAAATTCGCGTGTTTTCCCAAATATCGTGTTATAAAGCTGCGTCTGGGCATTGTCATATGATTATTGAAAATTTTGTCTGTCGTAACCCTGCCAATTCTTGGGGTAAATTAATTTTCTGTAAAGTTTTCTTCATACTTTAACCTTGAACAAAAGAGTTTTCATTATTCTTTTCTTTTTTTGGTAATTTTATTAATTTTATTATTATTTAATTATTTTAATTTTTATAATTATTAGAAAGGTAATAACGATTGGCCAAAAACGTGAGCTATTGTTTCTTCTATTGCGTGAAGTCAAGTGCTACGATGATCGTAAATCTGTGTGACAAACAAAAAAAATTTTTTTTTCTCAGATTATAATTTTTTACTCACAGTTATGATAAAACATTAGAGAGAATAAATACGATATAAGGTCAAATGTCGAAGTCGAATGGTACAAAGTCTCCCAAAATGGATATGCAGGAGAATAAACAAATGTTTGTACGAAATAAAAATATGAAAACAGAAAATGTAGATTTTCCAAGGGGTGGTAGCGCCTCTGAATATTCTGTTAAAAATGGGAAGGAAAGAAATCACCAGGATGACCTTTTATTTAATGTAAGCACGTTATAATGTTTTTTGTCTTCTTGTCCTTTAGTTTCCTTGAGGAATAATTTGTTCTTTATTTGTTTTGTTAGATTTTTTTCTTTCTTATTAAATTTATTAAATTTTTGAGAATCTTCTTTTTAAATTAAATTAGCGTCAAAACAATAGATCATCGGATGAGGAGATAGAAAAACCCGTTAAAAAGAAGAGAAAATTAAAACCATCAAAACTAGCAAAAGATTCGGCTTCTAATTTTGATATTAATGATAATAAATTAAAAAATGAAAAAAGTTCAGTGGAATTATTATCAATTCATGTAAGTTTTCATTCCTTTAAATTAAAATGTCCTAATCATATGTAATATTAAATTCAATTCGTTTTTTTTTTAAAAAAAAAAAGCATCTTAATGTTGGATCATATTTCTTGGGTCGAATTGTAAAAATAAATTCTATGAATTTAGTTGTATCTCTTCCATGTCAAATGATAGGATACGTTTCAATAAATGAAATTTCTCGACCTTTATCTAAAATAATTGCCAATATTGCGGATTCTGAAGAGGATGACGAAGATGAGAAAGAAAATGATGAAAACATATTACCAGAATTATCTTCGTTATTCAAAATAGGTCAATGGGTTCGATGTAAAGTTTCTCGTATTGAAACTCCAGATGATAAGAAAGCTACATCAAAACATTGGCGTGTTCATTTAACATTAGTTCCAGATGAAGTTAATTCTGATATAATATCTACTGATTTATCGAAAGGAATGGTATTTATAAATAAAAATATATATATATATATATATTCTTTCGTTCTAAATGTGCAAATCATACTTATTTATTTGTCTCATTAGGTTATATCAGCGTCTGTTGAAAGTGTTGAAGACCATGGATATATTCTTTCCATTGGGTTGGATGGTATAGATGGATTTTTGCATAATGAAGACGCGAAAAATTATATAAAGAGTTATAATAATGGTAATGAACTTACAGTTGGACAAGTCATTACCGTTAGTGTTATTAAAATATTAGATAATAAACGAACTGTTAAGGTTACGGCAAATCCGGAGATTGTTGCAAAAACGAAAATTTCTGATGCTGAAGTACACAACATTTGTTCGCTTCTCCCTGGAAATTTGGTTACATCAGTTGTGTCAGATATATGTTCTAATGGCATACGCGTAAAGATAATGGGACTTCTGGATGGAGTAATTGATTTATTTCACGCTAACCCAAAAATTATGACAAACCTCCAAGAGTTTCATGATAATTTTAAAGTTGGAAAAAAAATTCATGGAAGAATTATTTATGTTTCTTTTACAACTGAGGCTAAAAGAATAAGGTTATCTCTATTACCTCACGTTGTTGAATTGAAACAACATTGTTCAGATATTGACAATGAATTATCAATTGACGAGGCTCCTGTAGGAAAAATAATTGAAAATGTTACTGTTAAGAAAGTTGACGGTCGTAAAGGTGTTTTATTAGAAATAGAAAATTTGAATATTAATGGATATGTTAAAGTAAGTTTTACTAATTATGAAAATTTATGTTTTAATTCAGAGAAATTAACTTTGAATAATTATTTATTTATTTTTTTCAGTTTAAATCCGGATCAGATCCAAATCATAGTAATGAATTAACTCCAGGTTCAACTCATCGTGCTCGAGTGATTGGATTTGCAGCATTTGATAACCTTTTATTGTTATCAACAAAAAAATCTGTCCTTGAACAAAAATATTTTAGATTTGATGATGTTAATATCGGAGATGTTACTCAGGTATTTCGGTATTTCATAAAGTTTAATTAATTAGATAATAATTAATTTATATTGTTTATTCTCAAATATTATATAGTGTAAAATTGTGAATATTATAGAAAGTGGAATTTTGGTTTCATTATCTGATAATATAACTGCATTAGCACCTAATATACACCTTTCTGATACGTCATTAACTCATCCATCACAAAAATTCAAACTTGGAACTACACATAAGTGTCGAGTTCTTAATAAGGATCCGTCAAACAATTATATCTACGTCACCTTCCGTCCCATACTAATAAATTCAGATCTGCCAATTTTTAAATCATTTAATGATGTAAAAGTCGGAATTGTTACTCATGGGATTATATACGGCATAATAGGACAAGGTTGTAATGTATATTTCTTTTGCGGTATGAAGGCCTTTGTACCAATTAATCAATGTGGTATTGAAGGTATAAAAGATACAAAGCATCACTTCCATATTGGACAGATTGTAAAATGTAAGATCACGAAAATTGTCAATGATAAGGAATTAATTATGGGAAGTTTCCAGATTAATGATATGACGAATAGTGACCTAAGTGAGATTAATTGCGGTGATGTAAGTGATTTGTTCATAAAATTATATATATGTTTATGTTCTTATAATTCTTTCGTTTTACCTTGTTATCTTCTCGCTAATATGATTGTGTCTCTTTCTTTTAAATAATTTATTGATCAGATGAAAAAAGGAAAAATCTTACAAATTAAAAATGATGAAATAATATTATCTCTTATACCTTCACAAATCCGTGCACATCTTCCCATTTCTCATTTTACAGATCACATAACTCCTTCTCACTTATCACGCATTAAAGAACAATTACGAATTGATGAAGTTTTAAGTAATTTAATGGTTATTGCAAAAAATGAACAAAAGGGTTTTGTTAATGTGACAAAAAAACCTTTATTAATCGAAGCGAAAAAGAATGGCAAGCTCCCAGAAAATTTGGATGAAATTGAAGAAGGAAGCTTTGTTTGTGGGTATGTAAGAAGTGTTACGGATTATGCTGTTTTCGTAGGATTTTTAGGGGGATTTAGCGCTAGGGCTACAAGAGAAGTAAGTAAATGTAAGATGCTTTTTTTCTTTTATGATTATTTGCATGGGACTTCACAAAGTTACATTCTTTTTTCCCGTAAATAGAGACTAGCAGATCATTATATTGCCAGCCCAGTTGGAATTTTTCATGTTAATCAATCGGTTATCGGTTTGATAACGCGTATTGATAAAGAAACATCGAGATGTGAAATTTCATTAAAACCGTCAGTAGTTTCCAATAACAAATATTTACCTTTTATTAATAAAGGTAATTTTATTAAATCTTATTTTGAGGAACTTCTACATACAAACAAAAAATCGTTGAATCAGGAAGAAACGAAAGTGATGTTAGGGGAGCGTGTAAAGTGTGTGTTAAAGAAAAGATTATCATCTGAACAAGATGAGGATGATTTAGATATGGTTAATGATGATCATGGGGGTTGGAAAGTTGTGGTCATTCCGAATAATGAGAATTCCCATGAAAAGAAGATTAAAGGATTTATTAGTGAAGAGCAAGCTAATACTAATAACGATATTAAAGAAGGTGATCAAATAGAGGGAATCATTCTTGACATGGATATTAAAGGAAAGAATGTTGATTTGGGTATTAGACCTGAATTGTTTCCATCTTTCGAAAAAAATGGAAAACGTAAAAACAAGAATTCTACTGGTGATGGCGTTAGTGTAAGTATCATGTACATATTAGCATGTTTTAAACTTTATTTATGATTATTTTTTTAATTATTTTAGAGAAAAGAACTGAAAAAACTTTTAAATGAAAAAACATCGATCGATGCAATAATAGAACAAGTCAAAGAAGATTATATTATTGTATCATTACCAAAATATTCTAATACTATAGCATTCGCGGCTTCAAAAACCTTTAATAATCGTTCCCCTCCTTTTATAAAATATCAATTCGGGCAAACTATAAAAGTTCAAATAACTCACGTACCTCGCCATCGCAAGAAATCCAACAATAATTCAGAAGATAATTCATCCAATCATCACAAACATACTTTACAATATCGAGTTCTGGTAACTATTTTAACGGACAGAGATGACAAATTAATAATATCTGGAATCAAAACAATTGATGATTTTTCTGAAGGTCAAGTAATTAAAGGTACTATTTCAGGTGTGGAAAATTATGGAATATTTATAAAGATCAATAATAGTGTTGTAAGTGGATTATGTCATAAATCCAAAATATCCGATGATTTTGTTAATGAATTGAGCGACTTGTTTAAAATTGGAGATAAAGTCAAAGCGAAGATTTTAAATATTGACAAAGAGAAACAAAATGTTGGCTTTGTTATGAGGAAGAGTTATTTCGATAGTGATGATGATCAAATGGATACAGATGAAGATGGAATTGAACAAGAGGATTCAGAGGATGACCAAATGGAGGTAACGTAACATGAACAATATGATACCCTTTTGAGATTTATATTCTTACTATTTGATTCTTTTTTTTTATATTATAGATTGATGAAGATAAATCTAGATCAATAAATTTACAATGGGAAACTGATTCAGATGAACAAGATAGTGATAATGATGAAAGCGAAGAAAATATAACCCAGTCACAAAATGAACAGAATGATGACGCGCCACTATCTATTTCAAGTCCTTGGAAATGGAAAGAGAGTGACGATGATGACTCTAATAATAATCAAACTCAGGAAGAAACTCCACCAAGTTCTTCGGATCATGAATTAGAAAATGATCAAAAGAAAAAGCATAAGAAGAAAAAATCCAAACAGCCTGAAATCGAGGACAAAACTGGTGATTTAATGAAGCAAAAGCCCGAAGTTAGTGCTGATTACGAAAGATTATTATTAGGGTCACCAAATTCTTCATATTTATGGATCCAATATATGTCCCATTTATTGAATTTGTCAGAATTTGACAAAGCAAGAGAAATCGGTGAAAGGGCTTTAAAAACCATTAACTACAAAGAGGAACAGGAAAAGATGAATATATGGATCGCTCTAATGAATTTAGAGAATAATTATGGAAGTGACGAAACTATGGCTGGAGTTCTTAAAAGAGCTCTTCAAGCTTGTAATCAAAAGAAAATTTATATGACTCTTGTAGAGGTTTATGAAAAGTCGAATAAGTTTGAGGTAAAGAAAAAATTTTTTAGTTATACGTGTACCTTTTTTTTTTCAATTAATTTAATGTTATTAAATTTTTTTTTACAGCTTGCTGAACAAACTTACCATACGATAACTAAGAAATTTTCGCAAAGCTCTAAAGTTTGGTATAAGATGGGACTATTTTATATTCAACGTGGTAAGATTGAAGCATTTAGAAATTTATTACAAAAAAGCCTAAAGAGTTTACCAAAACGAAAACGTAAGTTATACTTTTTTTTAGATTAGGTTAATAAATTGGTGTCAATGATTTAAAATTTATCTTTATTGATTAGATATTAAGACAATTACTAAATTCGCTCGAATGGAATTCAAATATGGCGAGGCTGAAAGAGGACGGACTATATTTGAAGGGATGATGAATAACTATCCTAAAAGACTTGATTTATGGTCAATTTATATTGACATGGAAATTAAAGCTGGAGTCGATGATATTGTCAGGTAAATAAATTAATACCGTCTAATACTGCCCGAGTTATATAATCAGTCTTAATTCTGGTAGAATTAAGCTAATTTTGGCCACATAAGACACAAAATACCCCAGGTATTATTCGATTTTTTTTGAAAAAGACCCGGGTATTCTGTGTATTTTACGTATTTTATGCAGTATATATATGGCTATTCTTTTATCTTAAACAATATATATATCAAAACTACATGTATTTATTGAAAATCATTTTTTTTTTCAGACGTCTATTTCGACGTGTTGTAAACTTGAAGTTTTCAACCAGACAGATGAGATTTTTGTTTAAAAAATGGTTGAAATTCGAAATGGAACATGGTAATGATGAACAAATTGAAGAGGTCAAAGAAAAAGCTAAAACCATTGCTGAAAGCATGAATTGAAATTAAAATGTGTATTAAAAAAATAGGGTTGAGTATTGTATATATATATTTAACATAGAAAATGAAATCTTTTTATTGTATCATGTTAGTAAAGAACGTTAAAATCTAATATGATTCTTATATTTATGATTAGCAAAACCTATCGAAATGCACAAATCAAATAACTAATAGATTAAGGAAATTGAATAGCTTAGAAACTACAGATACAGATATTCTGCGTACATAGTAAATTAATTATTTGATTAAGATTGACATCAAGCCTAGCTCTTTTATATAGAAAACTTCATGGAAGACAATATTAGAGCTTAATTTAATAAATATATTTTAAATGTACAAAATTTTATTAGTCCTTTTTTAATATTTAAATTTATACAATGATTCCTATGATTAAAATGTTTATCCAAATTTGATCAGAAAACTATTCAAATTATATTACAACATACAGAATATTATGATTATATTGTTATATTGTAATATAATTATTATCCAAAACTTGTTTTCCTAATAATACTACTTCTTCAACTTGTTTCCATACGTCTCTTTGTGATATGATATTTTGATCATCATAAAATAATTTTGCTATATGAAAAATCTTTTTAATAACATTTTTATCAAACATATTTGATGATGGTGAAGTATTCGTTACAACAAAAAGACAAAATAAAAGGGTATTTCCTAGAAGAATTATCTGATTTTCGTTTGATTTATATTCGTAGGATTTTAATTTTGGTCCTAAATTTATTTTAAAAAAGATATACTTTAATAATGTTTCTTTAAATTTCAATTCATTAAAAAAAAAATAACCAACCAAGAATCTGTGAAATTTGTAATCCTATTTTTACGATTTTCCAAATTTCTTCCTCATTTCTTACAATAAATTTTTCCCTCTCAGATACAACAATGTTAAGCAATATTTGTAAAGGACCAAGTATGTCGCTGACTTCTGAATCAGAAATATTATTATAATCTTCTTTATTTGACCAGGATTTCATAAGACAATTTATTATTATTTGAGTTCCCCCATGCGCAATAAAAGCCTCACGTGGTTGATCAAGTGGTGTAAGATTTAAAAAGGCTGGTATCACGATTTTAACAAGATCAACCTCTATATTATCTTTCAAACTGAAAAGCGAAAAGATTAAATTACAAATTCTTAATTAACTATAATAAATAAACTAAGAATTCTAATAATTCGTACCAATATTGACATATTTCAATTAAAAATGGAATCGCTTGAGAGATTTCTTTTTCTAGTGAACTTTCTTCGGCAAACCAAGCTGAAAGAACACGAATACTAGCTAAAACGCTCTCATCCCTAATAATTTTTTCAATTGGAGTAGTTTCCTAATAAAAGCAGTTTATTTTAATAAAATTTTTAAATATAATACTCATTAATTATGTTGATGATTTAAATTACCTTTACGTTCACTAAATATTCAATAATATAACGGAATGTTTCAGTCATTGTTCCTTTTAACCGTAACAATAATTCTGGATCTAGATTTACCCCAGCTAATTCAATAGAAGTTTCTTGAGATTCCAATAAATTTTCAATTTCTGATAGGTATTCAATTGATCTTTCCAGAATAGTATAACAGGTAGGTAACATAACTTCATGTCGCTTATCAAGTTGAAATTCTTGTTTTTCATGTTGCTCAGCTAATTCATCTAGCATAAGACGAATTTCAACGCAAGATAATTGAACTACTAAACTAGCAAATTTAAATTCATCATTGACATTTTTTTCGGAAGACTTTGAAATTTGCTTTAAAGATAAATCAGTAGTCGGAGAAAATAACCACTTTAAACCAATGTGATTAAGCAACAACATAACAAGTGTAAGAGCTTTATCACGTTGCTCATTGTCTACGATAAAGTAATCCATAATTGGTTTATAAATTAAATTTAATTTTGAAAAGTAAAAGCTAAGTACAATAAATTTTACCAAGTTTGCTACTTAATATTTCTTTTAATCCGAATCTGATATTTTGTGTCCACTCATCTAATTTTGTTTTATTACTAAGTAAAACAATTTGAGAAAACTACACAATGTTCAATAAATTCAAATTATTAATAAATGAAAAATATTTGAAATAATTCTTTGAAAACTAAAAATTGCAAATACCTGATCTGTCATGTATGAAAATATTTTGACAAAAAAATCTAAAAGATCAAATTTGAATTTTTCTTGATTTGTTCGGAAAGTTAAAGATAAATTGTTAAGAATTGTAAATGTATATTCCTGAAGAGATACTACATCTGATACAAATTGACCAGTAGAAGTCAATGTTATTAGACTATTTGTGAGGTAAGAGACAGCTTGTAACGCTAAATATCTTACTTCATCTGCATAAATAAAAGTAAAATTATGAAGTGTAAAATTATAATTTTATATAATTCACATAAAAATCTATTACAATACCATTCGTTGTAGCAGTTATACATAGTATTATCCTTGAAATAACATTTTTGTCAATAAGATGATCTATGGCTTGATTTGCAGAAGATAATCTAATAAATATCTTCAAAATATCTTTTGTTAATTCTTCGTTCTCTCTGAATAAAGTATAATTAGTAAGTGAATTATATAAATTAATATAATAAATAACTTATATGACATACTCTGGAGATAACAAAGTTGATAAAGTTGGTATTCGTGCGTGAATTTGCCGTTTTGATAAAAGTTCATCAATAGCGCAAAAACAAGATATTATATTAACAGCAATCGTTTTCAATGTATTATCGGGTAATTCACTGTCAGATGAATTGCCTATTATAAGATATTAAAGAAATATCAGTTTAACAAACCTAATTCAAAATAAATTGTTGTAATTATGTACTTGTTCTCATGAGACGCTCCAAAAATGTAAAATCCATAGCTCCAAAAACAAGTTTAACGGTTTCCTGATCTTGTTGTAATAAACGAGGAAGGAGCATAAGCGCAACAAACTTTGCATCATCGGAAGATTCGGGACTTAATAAATCCAGACATCGAGTAATTTCATTCTGAGGTTCTGTTTCAGAAGCCATTATTAGTTACATAACAAGATAGATAATTATTTGAAAATCTGAATCTTAAAAAAAATAATTCATGTGTGACAAAAGATCACCTTGCACACCCACTTTATATACTGTAGATCAACTTTATTACATGCGCAGTTAAATTTGTCAAATTCTTTGATTGTCAATAATCATTTGTATTTATAGTGCATTAAATTATTATAACTATTTACAAATAATTAAATTACACTAATTTTTACAATTATTAAAATATTTAAGATGAAATTATCATCCAAATAAATATAAATCAATTAAATTAAATAAATATTTATTTTGTTGTTTTTTTAGAACTTTTTCTCTTTTCCTTAGTAACTACTTTATCGTCACTAATTTCAACTTCATTACTCTTTGGTTTTTTCTTTTTGGATTTTTCTCTCTTTTTTTCATCATTATTTTCTTCTTTAGTATTAGAACTATTCGTTTTCTTTTTCTTTTTCTTTTTTGGTATTACCGTTTCATTAGTTGATTGTTCTTTTGTTCTAATATAAGCATCTAATAATGATTCCTCTGTATTTTGTTGTGAATTATCATTATTTAACCCTCCCCATGGAGAGGAAGATATTGGTCCCTCACTAAATAATTTAGGATTATGAAGGTGAAACTTTTGATGTGTTGGCTGAAAACAAACAAAGAATTAGAAATTTTTTTTCAATTAACTTATTAGATTAAAATCGTATATTAACCTGATAATCCGATGAAGAATTTCTCAATTCATAATCTTTACGTGATTGAGTTATTGTTGATTGTTGATGTTGATTAGAATCTTTTTCCAACCAAGGATTATCTTGTCCTTCACCAATCTCTTCATATGCACTTGGAGTTCCGAAAGCTATAGGAGTATAATCTCCTATGTCAAAAGAAGGGTCTATAAAGTTATCATGGCCCTGTGATGAATTTGATACTACCGTGTTATCAGAATAAGGATCATTAATCATTGATAAAACATCATCTGAATATTTTGATGGTTCAAAATTATTCTCATCTCTTAATACTTGACTTAATCGTGATTTCTCAACAAATGATGCTGCATTCGAAGGTCTACGATCCAATAAATTCATCTGCTTTGCACCTGTTATTAAATCATCATCGCTACTATCATCAATATTTCCGGCAGAAGCAGTATTATTCTGACGAAGTTTCCAAACATCATTCAAATCACTATTGAATTTGACTGATTGACGAACATTATTGTGATCGTGGTCATCTTCTATATCATTTACTACATTCCCAGCAAGATCTTCATCAGCAGCAACCATTGGGTTTGATGAATCTTGATCATCTTGCTCTTCAACTTTAGGTGGGTGAGCAGGAGGTAAAACTAAACTTGGATCAGGTGCATCATCAAAGAAATCATCCTCAAGTTCTCCCGCGTCAAATTCATCAATTATAGTTATATCGGGTGTAACTGCTTTAGGTCTTTTTGATATAGTATGTTGATCTAAATTTAATGCCGGCGGTGTTGATGATGTGGATTTCACTTCTTCATCCACTGTTAATATTGAAATAATTATAGTAATACATAAATATATACGTCGAATAAATATCTTTAAATATAAATGAGTGATATTTCTCACCAGATTCACCAGATTCTTGTTGAGATAAAACACGAAATTCTTTGTCCCATAAATCTTTCAAAGCAGATTTTTCCAGCTCTAATCTATCTTGTTCTTGTTCTTGTTCTACCTCTACTAATAAAATAATAATAATAATTTTTTTACAAAAAGAAACATATTAAAATATTTGAAAAAAAAAAAATTTATAAAATATAATATACGTTTAGGATCCTGAATATCATTTGTTATACTATGTTGCTTTCGAGCAGAGGCAGAAATATGTTCACTATCATCAAGTGTATCTAAAAGTGTAACTAGCTCTTTTGTCTTTAATTCCAATTGTTGACGGAGTATATCCTTTTGCAATTGTAAGAAAGGGATGCCCAAATATTTATATATATATTCCAATCCAAATCCAGTAAGCATACTTGTTTCAACATAACGAATCATGTTTGCTGGAGGGTACTCAGTTACTCTAAGCCTATTACAATCAGCTATAGACTGATAAATTTGTGATCTTGTAATCGACCGCTGCGAACTTTATGTGCAAACCATTTAAAATAAATAAATTAATAATATAACAAAAAGATAACTTTAAAATATAATATATACTCAACCTTAAATCACCAAAATTACCCTATAATAAATAATCAAAAAATTAGATCTATGTAATAAAATAATAAAAATAATAACTTATTTAACATACCAAAAGTAATATAGACATATGCTCTGGAATTACTTTTAATTCTTTAATAGCATAATCAAATGTCCAACTCTTTGTTATATCAAACATTAAGATTACACCATGTGTATTTCGATATACATTGATTGTTGCAGCATCTAGTGCAATTTGATCCGGTGATAATTCTGTTGTTAATCGTGCAGGTGAAGTTGGTGTTACTGGACCTTGATTATTATCTATTTTAAGACCCGTGCCATCTGATAGATTAGGTCTTCTATTTATAGGTGTTGGATTGATTCCTTTATCAACTACATCCCAAATCTCTACTTTGATGATATCATTTGCTTGATTATATTTCCATTGTATATTTGCAACTTCAATTTGTGGCGTTGTTACATATTCTTCTTTAAATGGACCTCCTTGTAATCGATTAACTAAATTTGCAAGTTTTTATCAGAAATTAAATGTAGATAAAAGGTAAATCAATAAATAAATAATTTACACAAAGTTGATTTTCCGGTTCGAATATCACCACGTATTATAATTTTCACTAAAAAAAAATGATGAATTAATAAAATAAAAATATGTAATGTACAAAAATACACTTCAATTACTTACTGTTATATTGGACACCTTTTTGAAATTTCCCTTGCATAGGTTTAAAAGTATTTTGAGGTAGAGAAGTATCTTGTAAATCTTCTTTTGCTTGTTCGTTACCCTATAAATTAAAATATCAATAAAAAAAATAATATTGATTGAAATTATAAAGTACATAAAACGAACCATTTCGTAAATGTTTAATTAAATTAAATAAATCTTTAGTTCGCAACTTAATTGATGGGAAAATTTATTTTTTTTAACCACATAGTCACGTGTGGTCAAATGGACTCACGCTCACACTAACTTTAACCGATCACGTTTATAGTGGAGGAGATGCTGGTACATAACTGGTTAATTATTAAATTGCGTTCCACAGGAACAGGATCACCTTTGTGTGAATGTTGCGAATGCGAATAAATAAAAGACACGTTTACAACTAAGCTAGAATTTAACCTAACAAGAAGTGAAAATTTTTTTGACAATTATAAGTGTAAAATTCGTATAACCTTTATATTGACGTATTTGGATAGTTAAAATTATTAATTAAGATTATTATTATTTATGCATATATAGATATGATTTGGGAATATATATATATATATTTATAAATAATCGGCATTTTTTTTCTTAAAATTTATAAAATTTTTTATTAGTAAAAAAAAAAATGGGTAAATAGGCTAAAGGTTAACTCTATTTATTAAATAAATAATGCTAATTTATTAATAATTTTTCTATGATTTATTAGCTCAAACTTTTAATGATTTTTTTGCAGGTAATTTTATACTTCAAAAATAAATTTATTTATTTATTTATTTATTTTTTTTTTTTAAAAAAAAAAAAATTAAATTAAATTAAATTAAATTAATGTAATAGGATATATTAGTGGGGTGGCAGGATTACTTGTTGGAAGCCCTTTAGATGTCTTAAAAGTGCGACTTCAAACTACGTCAACCATGAATAGTCGCACACCAATACCATCATCTATGAGAACTTTGATTGAAATGAAACGAGCTGAAGGCGTAAATATTTATTTAAAAGAAAAACTAATAAAACATTAAAATTTCTTTATACTCTTAATATATACCACAAGTTTATCATTTAATTTTTATAGTTAAGTTCATTATTTAAAGGTGTAGGTTCACCAATCATAGGGCTTGCATTTTTGAATTCGATATTATTTGCTTCATATGGAGGAATTATGAGAGCATTTGAAGAATACGGTTTCAAATCGTCACCTAATCCGACATTATCCCAAGTATATATTGCAGGATTTGGCGCTGGTGTTGCTTGTTTCTTAGCAAGTACACCAACCGAATTGGTTAAATGCAGAGCTCAAGTTTATCCGAATTCTTCCACTTGGAGCATTTTCAAATCAATTTTATTTACTCACGGAATTGGAGGTAAATAATTCGTAAAATTCGAATACTTTTTATTTTTAGTCAAAATCAATTAATAAAGATTTACTTTAATTAGGATTTTATCAGGGAGGGCTTATAACAATTATTCGGGATGCGCCTGGATATGGTGTTTATTTTTGGTACGTACAGTATGAATAAACATGATGTAATTATAGAATATTCGGGTAACAAAATAAATAATTAATTAATTATTAATCATAAGGGCATACGAAGGATTAAAAAGAGTATTAGGAGTAACTATAGATAATTCTGGTGGAAATGTCTCAAAATTATTATTTGCTGGTGGAATGGCAGGACTTTTATCTTGGGGTAGTATTTATCCATTAGGTATGTACTTTAAGATTATTAGAATTTCTGAAACAAAAAAAAGATTGTTCTTTATGGAGATACTAAATTGAGGGTAGGAACGACGTTAAACAAAATTTCAAATTAATTAATTAACTTCTATAAACGCGTTTTGTATTGTGTTATTGTGTGTTATATATAGATGTTATAAAATCCCGATTACAGACACAATATTCGTCATCAATTAATCCACATACGGAAGAGACTCCTCTTGTACAGCGTAAGGTAACTGTATCACCTACAGTAACATTAACTAGACAAAATGGACCTTATTATAAGGGTATTGTTGATTGTGCCATAAAATCTTATCAAGCCGAAGGAATCTCCGTGTTTTTTCGAGGAATAATACCTACACTCATTCGTGCTTGGCCTGTTAATGCTGTTACTTTTTATGTTTATGAAATAATGATTAATTGGTTAAACAGTTTACAACATTCAAATTAATTTGCTCATTATTTATTTACCGTTTTAAGATCATAAACAAAATTCACGTGGCGCAGTTTTTTTTTAATTCTTTCCTATTCTTTAGAAACAAAAAAAATAAAAATAAAAATAATGTACGATAAATTAAGTTATTTTATTAAAGATGAATAAAACATCATTTTTTAGTAAAGAATCCATACAATATAAAAATATATATAAATAGATGGAATTCTTGAAAAGAATTCGGAAGAAAAAACATATAAATAGATAATTTAACCGAAACCATTGTTATAATAAATAGTTTAGACATAAATTAAATAAATATTTTGGTATTTTAGTTCGAAAAATATTTTCGGAAAAATCAACCGTCAACAATACACATAATTATCAACCTGCATAAAATATTGGTTTATTTTAATTTGTAAGCAATGTTTCCTTACACACCATAGTAGGTCCTATATATATATATATATAATCTGTCTCATTTCCACAAACCACAAAACCATTTTTTTTTCAAAAAAAAAATATTATTTCTCCCAACCGGAAAATAACACTCCCTCAAAAAAAAAAAAAAAAATAATATTTTGATTATCATATGACAATCTAATATCATTCATTTGTTCATTCATTTAACTTTTTTTAGCCATATATTACTTAATTAATCTCACAAAAAAAAAAGGATTTTCGTTTATACTTTCATTTTTTTAATGTCTATGTCTACGGATTTTACAACGATTTTATTACGAGATTTCAACAACCTTCTTGAGGAAGGTGTTGACCATAATGTCATCATTCAAGCTGGTGAAGAACCAAATACAAAATCATTTCGAGCTCATTCTGGAATTCTTCGGGCTAGGTGTCCTTATTTTCGCACGGCATTATCTGAAACATGGGTTAAGCCACAAGAGGATGGTGTAATAATATTTAAAAAGCCAAACATTTCCGCCGAAATTTTTGATATTATCCTCAAGTAAGGTTAAAAATCATCTTCAAATTTATAATATATATATATATTTTTTCAAATTTAATAATTTATAAAAAAAAAAATAATAATTATTAAATTTTTTAAGGTATATTTACACAGGTAAAATAGCGCTGGATAAACAAGATGGAACAGGAATTCTTAGATTATTGATGGCAGCAGATGAATTGATTTTACATGATTTATTTGGATTCATTCAACAACATCTCATAGAATATAAAGCAGAATGGATGCAAGAAAATTTTGATTTGGTTCGTCGAACTGTATTTCAAAATGATCGACTAAAAAAACTTCAAGATTATTGTGTGGAGAGAATTTGTAAAGAACCAACTTTACTATTCAGTTCAAAGGATTACCTTTCAGTCAATTTAACTGTATTATTAAGAGTTTTTCAAAGAGATGATTTACAATTAGATGAAATTGAAGTTTGGGATTATTTAATACAATGGGGAACAACTCAAACTTGTGCTTCAACTGAAACACCAGATTTAATCTTAGAAGATATTTCAAAATGGTCAAAAGAACACGTAAAGGCTTTACAATCTACGATACAACAATGTATTCCTTTAATTAGAATTTTTCAAATTTCATCAAAAGATTTTTTTAATAAGATAGTACCATATAAAGGTATTCTACCTAAATCACTTTATAAAGACGTTATGAAATATCACATGGTTCCGGATTGTCCAAGGCCTCCATCTTTAATGCCACCAAGAAGAGGTGGGTTTGAATCAATTTTAATAAGAGCGAAACATGCCGCTTTAATTTCAAGTTGGATCGATAGAAATGACATTAATGTATTTTATAATTCTACAAATATTCCTTACGAATATAGTAACATTCCTTATGAATTCAAATTACTTGTAAGAGGAAGTCGAGATGGATTCTCTCCTGCTGCATTTCATGCAAAATGTGATTTACAAGGCCCAACTGTTTTAGTTTTAAAAATTCATGGAACAGGACAATTAATTGGAGGTTATAACCCAATTTCTTGGGATTCAACAAATAAATGGGGAACTACTAAAGATAGTTTCCTTTTTTCTTTAGGAGATGGAGAGGATTTAAAAAATGTTGTATTTAGTAGAGTTCAAGAACATTCAAGAGCAGTTTTATGTTCTCAAGCAATAGGTCCATGTTTTGGAAGTGGTGATTTAGTTATGGGTGGAACTCACGCTAATTTTAATTTAGAGTTGGGTTGTTCATGCAAAAGACAATCTTATGAAAGACATTTAATTATAAATCATGATAGATTTTCCGTTGTTGAATATGAAATATTTAAAGTTACACCCAAATTAGGGGTTAGAAATAGTCAAGTTTTTAATAATAATAATATTTCAAGGACGAGTGGAAGATTTTCTCTTTTATTATCTCACAATCATTATTTCACTCCTAATAATCAACAACCACATTATAATTGAGATCATCTTACAATGTATTAAATAGAAAAATAATAGACGTTTTTGATTAGTTTAATTGTTATTTATTAAAAAAAGCAAGTAAAATAAATAAATAAATAAAAATTTCAATGTATAAGCATTTTAATTGCACGAAGATCGCACTAAATTTAATAAACCACATGATCAATAAACATTATGCGTATATGCGCACCATATTTTTTAATTTCATCATGAACCCCATTCTCAAATATAACTTGGAAATTGATTTTCGTTCTGATCGAATAGTAGTTGTTCCCCTTTTCTATGGAAAATTCTCCATTTTAAAATCTAGTTTTAAGTTCAATTGACCCTTGAAATTTTCAAGGGTACATACTGCCTTTGGTAGATCCGGATCGGGAATTTAGGATAATCAGTGATATTCAGTTCATCTTTTGAATAATTTCTTTGAATACCAATTAAAAGATTACCAGTGTTAATTAATAATCAATAAAGAAATAAAAGTTTCAAATGCCATGTCAAAATTAACAAATAGAAATTAAAAGTATGAACTACTTTTATTAAAGAGATTAACAAAGATGGTTTCTCTACGGTGTATTTAGCAATTGTGGAAGGATGTTCTAAAAAATATATCTTAAAAAGGATTGAAAGTTTGAAAAATTATCTAATTTGATTTAAATTATCAAATCTTAAAACATTATACAATAGTAATTTACTAATTAAGTTTATAATTTTTTGAATTAAATATTTGACGATTTTTTATTTTAATATCCACCCATCCAATAAGAAGATAGATTTAAAAGACTATTTAAAATTTTATTAAAAAAAAAAATGATATTATAGGCTAAAAATTTCTACTATTAGCTAAAATAAGAGAAGATATTAAGTTCTAATTTCGGCATATTATCAAAAAAGTTTTAATAAAATATTTTATTTATTCGATATACTCACAAAAAAGGTTATCGGGGAAGATATTATTTTTTTCTAATCTTACTTTAATTAGAAGAAGCATTATCCAGAATCTATGAGTTGTGAGAGAGTGGATCTAAAATATATTAGTTGATTCATATCTTTGCATCTTACGGTAAATGCAATAAAATGTAGTTTGTTAATTATCTTTATCTATTATAACCTAAATTCATAAAAAATGACTTACTTAATTAAGTATTCAAAACTAATCAATGTAAACTTACAAATTACGCCAGGGTTTTAGTTGCGATACGTTATAAAGAATAGGATTGAAGAATATTCGGGATTAACGCGCAAAAAAATTTATAATATCGAAAAGGAAATTAGTATCAGTGTCTAAGCCATAATAATATCAGGTATAAAATAATCGCGTTTTTCTTTTACTTTTCTTTTTTTGCGCAATTTTTTGTTTTGCCGAATTAGCATGTGGCTTAGCCTTTTCTCATAAGAAAATCATAAGCTAAAAATGCATTTAGACTATTTAGACTAATTTAACAAACTATTTTGTCATTATTACAACAAAAGCCCCTTAAGCCTAAACATTTATTTTATACATAAATACACGCATTTTAAAAAATTTCTTTCAAAATTTACGCGAATGAGATAAATTTTCTCGTTCCTTTTTTCTTCGCTCCCAAATAATTTAAAATATTAATTTATTGTATATATAATTTATTGTATATAATTTATTGTATATAATTAACCCAACCCTATTTATCTTATTATTATATTTTATAATATCTAATTTACAAAGGAAAAAAAAAAAAGTAATTATATTTTATCAGTGTGGATGTTTTTTTTAAAAGAAAAAAAAAGGAAAAAATACAATAAAAATACACGTGTATAAAGTTAAATTACATGACGCAAAAAGTCCGAAATTTTCACAGGTTTATCTTTTAAATAAGCACCAACTAGATGACAATCATAACCCAAATAATGAGTCCACCAACGAACGTATAATGTTTCAAGAGGAGCAGTAGTATTTTGTAAAAACAACTGCATTGGAGTATCACCTATATATATCCAAATATTAAGATGACGTAGTGTGACGGGCATAAGACCACCTAAATCTTTCCAAAGAGCTTCATCATCCCATGAAATACGATCCATTCGAAATATACTTAGACTTTTTAATTTACATTCAGAGGAAGTTAATATATCGATTAAATGACTTATTTGTACTTTAGCTATAGGAACTCCTAATCTGATGATTTTGGGACAATTTTGAGCTACAGCTTCAATAATTGTGGGTGTTATTATATGAAGTTGTTGATTATCCACAGGTTTATAATAAACTTCTTCTAAATGAGTTGGGTTATTTTGTATTAAAGAAACTACAACACTATCCCAATTGTAAGTAGATTCTACAATATGTATTTTACGAAGTGATGGAAATGTTGCACATATTAATGGTGCAAGAATTTCATCTGTAGCAAACGAACAATTTTTGATTATTAATTCTTCTAAATTTACACAAGTTGCTAAACCTTCTAAAGTTGACCTCATTATTGAAGATGATGCCGTTGATGTTGTCGATGATGTTGAAGGCGGGCTTGAAATAAAATGAACATATATAATTTCAACGGAAGTTAGAGAATTCGCTTGAGATCCTAATGAAGCAAGTGTTAATGCAGGATAAGTAGAATATCCAAATAATTTTATATGTCTTAAATTATTTTGAATACTAATTAAAGATGCTAAATTTTGCTCATCTTCAGGATGTGGAGCTTGATTAAAAGAATAATCTACAACTTCTAGAGTTTCAATATTTTTTGCATATTTTGATAAATATCCGAAAATTGACCAATCAGTTATATAATGAATAGATAACCTTTTTAATTTAGCAAGATATGTGTCAATGCCAGCAGAATAAAGTAATAAGGGATATGCTTTCCAAATTTCCTTATTACCCCAATCAAGTGAAAGGGATCGAATACTAGAACGCCGACTAAAAAATAATGTACAAAGTGTTCTATATACCAGTAAACTAGGTTCCGCATTGAATGGATTATGCCTAAAGTAAGAAAAAAAAAAAAATTTAAATAAAAATGTGTAAATAAAAGAAAAAAAGAAAAAAAAAAGAAAATAATAATTTTAAACAAATTTGTTTTTTTTATATATATATGTACCGTTTCGGGGAAACAGAATATTTTGTTTGAGTACGATCCGTCCATCTTTGAACTATGCTAAAAAGATTTCCCATACTAAGATGACGCAAAAAGGATACATAGTCAAATGCTGGTACTCGTCTACGATTAGGAACTCCAATAATATCATTATCAATAAGATAATTTTTCTCAGGTTCAGTAAGACAAGTTAAATAAACATCTATTATGGTTGACGGTGTTAAATCAAGAAAAGGTTGTGCCCATAATGAAGGAACTGAATTTTCACACCAAGCTCTATTAACTAAAACACAGGATTGTAATGTTTTATAATCATCTTCTAGATGAGAAAATATTTCAATAAGTACATCCGTAGGAAGTATTAATTTGCGTTTTTGTTTTCGAAATGTTGAAGAATTTGTATGAGATTGTTGGTCATTGTTGCATAAATCTAGTACACCTTTGCCTTTAAATAAACTAGACAAATTTCCCTTTAATGCATGCAAACGACGACCCATTTTTAATCTGATTCATCTGCTTGCTCTTTAATTAAAGAAAAATTAAATTAAAAATTTGGATTTTTTTTTTATACATAAAATCTAAAACGACTATAAAAAAAAGTAGACGATGATGATGTAGCGAAAGGGTAAAAAAAAAAAAAGATTGTAAAAAAAAATAAAAAATTTTCGAATAAATTTATATTGCCAAAAATCATTTGAGCCACATTTGGGAAATGACTCCTCCTTTGCGCCGAATTGTACAACACACCCCCGCACACCAATTTATCTCGTGGAGTCCATCAATTTCCAAGTCTAGTTAATGGATACAAAGTAAATTTGTGTAAATTGCTGCGCGTACATATGAAACTCTTTATGTTTTCTCTTACGTAATGGTTTTTGGATGTGGCGTGAATTTTTTCATAATTACAAAATTAAGCCACTTTTTTGAAAGATGCTTTTACATCTATTTATTAAAAAAAGATAATTATCAATAAAACTAAAATGGAAAGATTAACTGCGAATCGGAAAAATTTTTTTGATAAAGTTGTAAGGCTGAGCAAATAAAATTATTTAGATTCTTTCATAACCCGGCCGTATCGGCTTTTAAAAAAAATTTTTTATAGAAAAAAAAATGATTGTTTTTTTTATGATGATCTTGTATAAATGTAGCAAAATTTTAAGGTAAACAATTGTAATATAGTTTGCCACCACAGGCGCGGTAAAATTATATATAACGGGAGTGACGTACTATTTATCACGAAAGGATATGCGATAAATAAACTACAATTAATCAAGTCACTATTAACTAACCTTAAATTTTGGGAGTTATTAAGAATAACATCATCATAATTAAAAATAAATAAATAAAAAAGTTATATATATATAATATATATTTATGTGTACTAAATATGAATTAATTAGATTTTATAATGAATACTAAATTAAAACTATATAATTAACTGATACAAACTTATGAAACAATTGCTTTAAAATAACTTTTCTTCCTCTATTTAAGTTAATTTTGCATACACCATCTTCATTATTTCTAGCTAACAACAATTGTTCCAACAATTCAACACTAATTTTTGTTGAATTTAATAAAGGATCTATTTGTCTTGTATGAATAATTGCTTTATGAAAATCATGATAAGATTTCTTTGACCATATACCTAATACAACACCTAATAAACATCCAATTGAAACCTACATTTTTTTTTTTTGAAAGAAAAGGAATTAATAACAATATTCATCTCTTTAAAAAATAGATACACTTTCATTTACCTTGATACGATTAGAAGAAACTGCACTAGCTGCTCTATTATTATAGAAAAATGCCAATGGAGCAATTGCAATACTGGCTCTAAAAAGAAAAATTTTTAAGTTAAATAATGTTGGATATAAATCATTCATAATTAAAATATTTAATAATATTTACATAGAACCATAAAATAAAAGACTAGAAGCTATCTTGGGAGTTTTCCATTTTTTAGTAGAATCATTTATTTTACGTTGTGTAATTTCAACTTCTCCTCGTAAACGTTTAACTAACGGATGAAGTTTCTCTAACGGTTCTATAAAATAAAATTTGATGGATTTTAGTTAATTATTACATTTTTTTTTAATAAAAAATAAAAAAAATAAAATATTTTTACCATCAAGATCAGTAAATTCTACTAGATTTAAAAGATAATTTTCTTCATGATCACGACTAACAGGAATTTTATCTTTGATTTCTCTGAGTTTTGGTTGAGCAACAAATGGAACCCAAGTAGGAATCTTAGATTCTCCATATAATTCATTAAGGTATGTTAAATTTCTTATAACTGTAAATAACCGATAAACAAGTACATCAAATGCTGTAAATTGCTATTAATAACGATAATAATTATTACTAATTATAATAAACTTTTTATAATTAACTAAATTATGGATTTAATTATAATTTACCTTAGAACTATCATCAAGACCATGATTTTCAATTAAAGAATTTAATACTTCAATAAATAATTTGCCAATTTCTTCATCAAAGTTATTACGAACTTCAAATACAACCACCTTCATAACAACATCGTGTACTTCACGATTAATTGTAACAATTGGACCAGGAAATAATTTTTCTAAAGCTGATTCGACTTCATCTTCTCGATGAATTTCATTAATAGCTGATTCCAAAGAATCTGGATCAACATCTTCATCAAAAGTTCTTAATTTTGTTGTATTAAGAATATTTCCAGTTCTTTCACATTTTGAATTACGTTCTATATTAATATATGATTTACTATCGAGTGGAACCCAATCTGCAAATCCATTAAGTGTTAAATCTTTAATAGTTTGTGAAGAACGAAGTTGTTCAATTACATCTCGATGTTTTTGTGATTTAAAAGATATCTTAACCTATCAAAATATAAAATTATGATTTTTTTTTTTTTTTTAAAAAAAAAAAA